CTAATTAGGAGATAGCTAAGTCCTAATGAGGAGTTAAAAAAAAATTCTGACTGTGGCACTAGGACGCTTCCGTAGAATGACACTTATATTACATAACTTCCAAACACCTGTTTATCATACTGGTAATTAAAATGTGACTACTGATAAAGTAAGCGAAATATGTGTACATGTATATCACAGTAAAACGCTAACTGTAAATGACATCCGTTTGGTAGGCTGGTATTGGGCATTGAGTGTTTTCGGACCCATTACTTTCATTTGGAAGGAATACAGTGACGGGGAACAGATAACTTGTTTTGTACTTGCTGTGGCTACTATCTTCGAGACACCGAACTAACGATCTTTTCTTGTTCCTTTTCATGGAATGTGGAGAAACATGCGCATACACGAAGACGAGAGCATGAATTAAAATAACGTTACCAACAGGCAGAAACTGCATTCATTCGTGACCAACTCGTGTTATTCCGGGACAAGCCGAATAGGTTACGGAAAGAGGCAAGTGGTGACGAATGAAACTGCATTATCAGTGGTTCGAATTGTGAAGAGAGCTAACTCTAAATACAGCTCGGAGCAATGATGTTTAGTTTCGTATCTGAGAAAAATATGGCGCTAACAAATCGATGTACGATATCGTACGTCACTATATTTATCATTTCAAATGCTCAGGTTATTCTATTTAGAAGACCATTTCCATCAATGCGAATAGCATTAATGTGTTAAGCATTGCAGGGTTATGCCCTCTTATCTTTATGCGTGTGTGACCTCTCTGTCCCCGTTTGACAACAGAGATGAACAAGTTTCTATTTTTTTTGTGGTTTATCGCAAGCCATCTTATACATTGAATGTATAATGTTATATATGAGCATACAAAATCATCTGATATACTGATATGTCGTTCGGGTATCAGGCAGTATTTTGTTTGCTCACAGTATTTTGTTTGACCCCAAAAACTTTAAAAAATAAAACATCGCCGCACATTGTGTACGATAAAAAGCGGAAAAAATTGTCTGTTGACGCAAAACAAAATTTCGGACAACCCTTAACAGAACGCAGTTATCATGCAACGTTCACTATTCGGATCGTATGAAAATGTGATTCAGAATAAATGATTGGCATCCAGGAAGTTAATGGGGAAAGGTATGGGGAAGTGGGTCAGTTGCTGGCCATGGCATTCTATGGATCTTGTGCTGTACTTGTGACGGCTACCGAGTGCAGCTGTTTTCCAAATTACTGGCGATTGCGGATCCCTTACTAACCCTTCACTTGCGTCTGGATCAATCTTAACAGCCAGAACCCTGCAGCTATCCTCCAGTCCGACGTCTCTGGATCCCAGCGCCCTCTACTGAAATCCAGTTGGAGCACGTTACCCTCCCAGTCAATTTATCAAGTGTATTTCGTAATCCAGGCTAGATTTCCCATAATACAGTTGTGGGTTAAAATAAACTGACGGCCAAAAAAAACTTAGTTTCAAACAGTCATAGAAAACACAAGATACAATATGACTGTTTCAAAAGATCAATCCCAACACGAAATGACACAAAAGCATGAAATCCATACCACTTTCGGATCAAGCACAGCAGTTGATTAAAGTTAGGTGGGGTACAGAAGTTGAATGTCCAAAATGTTCACAGAATATGAGCAAGAAACAGTGTCCCATTCCTCTCTGAAAAGTTTAATCAATAACGTGTGTGGCCCCCTCGGACATCAATTCAAGCAAGAACCCGCCTTCTCATGGAGACAGTCAGTCGTCTGATGAGACCACGTGGTATGCGCCGCCATTCCTCCTGGAGTGCTTGAATGAGGTCCTGTTGGTTAGCTGGCGTGCGCGTTCGTTCGGATGTGACGATCCAGGATATCCCCAAGGTGTTCTATAGGGGTCATGTCGTTAGGGGTAGTAATTCTGGGTCTCCCTGATCTTGGTCTGTCAGAGGTCTGTACAGTCTGTCGGAAACGTTGTATCAAGTTGATTCTGGCAATGTCAGCGTCGGTGGCTGCGATCTGGACCATTCCCATGGCTCGTTCTCGCTCTGCAGCTGTAAGGAGTGGCATTTCTCTTTGTTTTTCTATTGCAGAAATGTTTTAATGATGGGTAAGCCTTCAAACCCCTTTTTATACCCACCATGCACGTGCAGGTTTCATACTGAACTAGTCACCTGATTTTGATCTTTTCGCATTTTCACATCTTTACATGCAAAGCATGCGTTTCACGTGTTGTATCGAGGGTTGCTTTGTTCCAGCGATGTGTTTTCATTGGTTTACAGACGTACAACCTACTTTTCATTCCAGTTATTCCATTTATATGTTTGTAAAGTTTCTTTTGGCCGTCAGTTTATATTGAGGTCACATATCAGAGTGTTACCTCTTTGTCGATCTCTTTTTAAATAACTTGCATAAGTATAAGGTTATCGAACGTGGTACATTGATATCACAAGAGTTAAATTAATTTTCGAACATTATTGTACCAGCAATATTGCTCTCATTGTGGGGATTTAATGGAATTTAAACAGCAAGTCAAAATTAGATCTTAGCAAGGATTTCTTCCTCACTGACCTTTTATGTAGCAGCCTTTGATATGGCCCCTGTGTCATGCTTTCTGATCAAACAGTTCATGTTTAGGCCTTGTCAGTAGGAACTGCTGCAAACAGTTCATGCAGGGCAGCCAGGCTTTGGATGGCAGTTGGCTGGAACACAATGGGTTTATTGCAATTATTTCCCCACCCATTCTTTACTTAACCCACTCTTAACGACATTATGCATGTTATTCTTCTCTTGTGGTCTTTTTGGGGTGTATTTTTAGAAACTTCGACAGCATCCATAAAAATGTTACTATTGATTTCAAGATGAGGGAGACTGGTCACAATATTTTGGGCCATAGTTGAATAGCTGTGAACAACATTGATGAAATAGTGATACTGTAGGAAAAGGACATTGTTGGTTGTTCCTAAAATTTGAAATATTGTGGGACATTTTGGGACATAGATTTTCTGAGGAGAATGGTATTGATAATCAAGCCATCAATTCCCTTGTTTACAGTTTTCAAATTCATAACCATACGGGTTTGCTGTTTGATTTAACAGATGTATACTGTATAAATTCATTTAATACGAACGTATGAAATGTTGACAATTTTTTACTTACTCCTTCGCTTACTTAAGTGAGTTAAGTACGCAAGAAGATGAACAATGTTATTGTTGGCAATTCTGAGTTCTTAAATTTCAGTGAATGTGATACGTATAACATTAACCTTAAACTCAACTACAATGGCCACGTTTTTAATCACTACAAACAAAATGCATTTAATTGTACATATTACTAAGTATTCAATTCCTTACATGTGTTCACAAATTTAGATCTGGACATTACAAGTAGCTTCTGCTAATCTCCTTTGATCTATGAGGATCCTTCTACTTCAGCCTTAACTGCCAACAATCATTCCTTCATAAGCAACCATCTGTCATCCATACATATTTTTAATGCTTATAGTATATTGCCTTTGACTGCCATCGCCTGTACTAACCTATTTATGATATGTATATCAGATCTACTTACAAATCTGCTACACTTTTAACGTCTTTTCTCCAGAGTGCCAAACTTGTGCAGAACTGTACAGGAAGAAGGATAAAATCTTCTCAGCTGAAAGCAAATTCTTGTTTTTGCACGCACCATCTGGTGTTATCAACCCACTAAAAGAAGATAGTCCTCAAGAAAAAAAGGATTCCAGAAAGTATGATCGATCTACATTAGTTCTGAAATTCAAGAAATACATTTCGGCATTACGGAACTCAGGAGGAGGAGTGATACTTCTACATATTCTCGACCTTGACCTTGGAGATAAAAACCTAGACCATTTCCATGAACTTGTCGATGTCAAATTCCATCAAATTATTGATGATGGAAGTCTGTTTACCCAAGTGTACAGGAAGAATTGGTTATACTGTTTAGCTGATTGTTCTGATGACAAAGGCGAGTCTGGAGATGATACAGATGAAGATTCCACTGAAGAAGCCACAGATTACAATTTGTATAGAGATGTAGTTGGTGTGACAGTAGTACCTTCTTTCTCAGTGGTAACAGTTGACTTCAACACAAAACTCCAACTTGACAACAGTGTTGTAGATCCAGTGAATACTGAAATAGTACAGTTCTTAACGCGGAAAACATTGTTCCAAAATAGTACAGCTCAAATACGTAATGTGGACAATTTGGACCGTTTACATGAAAGTCGATGCATGCAATTCAAGTCCTTTCAACCAGATGGAGCAGAAGCCACTAGCGACATTCTCAACAACCCTGAAAGACTGGTAAATCATATTTGGGATCAGCTTCGACTAAAACATTACATCAGTGCTTTTACCAAGGTTGATGGTGGAGGTTCATATTATGTTGGAATCTCTGAACAGGATAAAACGTATAACTCCTATACGTCTCACAAATACGTTGTTGATGGAATTGATGTTCCTGAAACTGATCACCCATCTGTAGCGGATGAAATAAGACATAAAATTGGGACTGAAACTCTCGTGCTCTACTTTGATGAAAGAATTGCACCTGGCCCGCTGCCACCAGAACTTGTGAAGATTAAATTCCATCCAACTGAAAATAATCATTTTGTCATAGAGGTTGCCGTACCAGCCATCAATGGCTTGGTATTCTATGACAAAGAAGGACCAGAGGCATATGAATTAAGACCAGGGGAATCTGGATCTTCCATACGACTTTCCGCAAACCAGTGGCGTACCAGACTCTTAATGTGTAATTACCAACAAAGCTATTTCTATCTTTTCATCATGACAATTCTTAATGTAGCTAAATGCCATATTGCATGTAAACACAAATATAAGATGTTACTTTTTAAAATAAATTCTTCAGATTCAAAAGTGGAAAGTAGAAATCCACTGTAAAAAATTATCATAATTTTTAAGATTAAAATATGCAAAGATTATGCTCATGTTATCCCAATTCAAATATAATTTAGTATAACAATATAATATTTTTATTAGAACAGAAAGCAGATATGGCGTATCATAAATCAAGACACGGAGTGATGAAAGGTGGGTATTTTGTTCAATCATTTTCATTGCTTCATAAGACGAGTAATACCAAGTGGATTGTTTAGGTTATGTACACAATCCCTTATGCTTGAGTTAACAGTATCTTGGGAAGAAAGCCATAAGAGGCACAGGTCGACCAAAGATACCACGTTGATGAAACACATGGGTATTAGGGTTCTGAGAAACCAGATATCATTATCTTAAAGCAGAACTTATGATCATATTGTTCTTAGACAAGTGAATTTACTGTGATAATGATAATAATAATAAATGCATATTTATAATGCGCCCTTTCCACACCCTTGGTCACGTAATAATACCATTTTGAAGAACATTCAACATGGTGAAACAGGAATTGTTATTTGCAACTGCCCACAAACACGTTCTAATGCCTTTTCATATATTTACAGTTAGGCCTACTTTCAAAGATACATACTGAAGCCGAATCTGTGTTTATGTTTCAGAACCTGTTTCAAAGGCGCGTATCCAAGAAGTAAATATTGTGTCTTTTGACCATCATCGTCCACGCCTTTTGCAGGTTGGAAACAGTACCGACTTGATAAAACAGCATGTTTTCAGTGGAGGTATGTACTGCATGTTTCTATGTACACCGTAGAAACTTAATCCTGTCATCTTTTAATTAAACAAATGCCATGCCTTACTATCTCTGCAAACATATTGATAACAAGTCATCGTCTGCCACAAACGTGTTGTATTTTTCATTTCCCTGAAATAACTTGATACGTTCAATCGAAATATTATGTAGATGTTCGTAATTACTCTAGGTATCAGAATGTTTATTTTAATATGAGCCTCTTCTGTGATTTAAACATTTTAAAATATATGATCATCATATGTAGGGTAAAGTGCCTGATGTCAAAATGACAAATGTAATACATCATGCATTTCAACATGTTTGTTGAAGAGGTTCGAATCAGCCACCCATGTTTAGAAAGTTTGGCTTTTTAGACCTTCCTCGGTAAGGTGACTGAAAATGTGAAGTTAATAGACCTCTTCCAGTTTTATTGCAGTAAAGGACATGTAAAATACTGAGAGGTCCAGACTCGGTTATCTCCAGGCCAATGTCACATTCTGCAATATTGCTGAGTGCGACATTAGACATGAAACTAACAAAGAATGTATTTTCATGCATTCACTGTTCTTCCTTTCTAGGGAAAGTGTGTATATATCCCAAACTGGACATCAATGAAGAATCTGGGATCCGATGGACAATACATCAGAGACTCCAGAGCAGCTACAAGACATGTTTTGCCTACACAGCCAAAGTGATGGCAGTGTCTGCTAATATTGCTGCCAAACCAAATTCAGCTGAGGCCATTTACGATGTGATCGTGTTTGTCCCAGATGGACCTACAACAGTATTCACAGTTATCAGTGACAAAGTAAAAAGCAAGCAAAAGAACAGAGTACTTGAATATAACCAGACACTCGCAAAAGGTATTGTGGCATCTGTCCGAAGGTATGCAAAAGAACAATTTAGTGTGGTTTTTGGGCTGATGACAGAAAGTGACCTCAAGGATGATGACAAGTTTAAGAAAGCCATGGACACGATCAAGGTCAACACGTCCAAGTGGTGCATTCCAGTTACACTGAGTATGTCAGAGAAAAAGTTCAAGGAAGTCACTTGTGCATTTATCATGTCACTTGCTTTCACCAATTGTGTTTTCACAGAGGAGGAAGGTAATTCGCTGAACTGTCTCACACTGGAGCAGTTTCGGGTCCTCACCGAAAATATTGATTACAACCAAGTGGAAGTGAGTTCAGAACCTTCATGTGGAGGGGACGTCCTGCTACTTGAGATCGCACAAAGACTAGAAAAATCAGGCCACACGGCAATTGTTGCAAAGTCAGAGTCACTACTAAAGACTGCCAGGTAATTCAATCTTCTTCAAATTCCAACAACTGATTTCTTCTTCATTAAGTTCTTTTTGTTGATCTCAAATTCTTAATATTCAACAATATTTTTATGAACAGTGTATCAATTCATCATAATGCATTAATTTTCTTTCAGGAGGTTGTCCATATGCCAGGATCGCATTATCCCAGCTGAACTTGGACAGGAGACTTTCTGTGAGACGTCAGACATTGTCAATATAGTGGCAGACTGTGAGAAGGTTCAACGTATAAACAAACTTGAGAGGACCTGGCATTTTATTCGTGAATCTCAGAAAGGTAAGCAGACAAAGAGCCCATAGAAACGTAAATGTCTATTTCGTACTTAGTATGTTCCATTGTCACATTGAATATATGGTAACTGAAGATCTACACTTAGCAAGCATGCTTATACTCTACTGAAGAGTGGCCTCTTCTTGCGCTTCCTTTGACCCTCTGCGCATATTTGGCATTGAAGATGTTTCTGTGCTCAATTTCAATGCTATCTTCTGGCCCCCAGTTTGTCTCTGATCCATTCTGGGGGGATTTCTGGAAAGAAATGTTGTTAATAAATTTCATAATATTTTTTGTAAATTTGTTTTAGGGGTTGGTAAACATACATCAAGTAATGCAGCATTAGCTGAATGTGGAAGATATAGTATGAATGTAGATTATCATCATAAATGTGTTACATTTTGGTGTACATCATCAAGAAGCTATTAATGATCGTTATCCTAAACACTGTTATAATTATATACTTTGATTAGATTCTGTTGGTGGGATTACTTGGGTTTCAAAAATACGTAAGCTTTTATATGAGTATAGATTTGGTAACGTTTGGCTTTCCCAAGACATTGGAAATGTGTCATTATTTCTATCATTTTTAAGCAGAGGTTAGTAGATTTGTTCAAAACAAACTATTAGTACCAATATCATGGATTTATCCAGTCTTGTACATTTTAAAAGTATTATATCCTCTTTGCCGCTTGATAATCACATTTTAAGAATTAATGTAAGAAATTTAAGAAGATATTTATGTTTGTTAAAAGTCACATGCAACCAAAAAAAACACAAACATAATTAAAACACAATTATCACTTATTCATGACACATAATATACATAGCTGATTATGAAAAAAACATAAACAAAATTATAAGCGTACAATCGCAAATCAAAAGAGCATTGAGTACTTGGGTTTATTTCCCTCGAAACGAAGCACCCGGGATACCGAACCCAGTCAGAGCGGGTGGGTGTGCACTTAAGTGTGATGAAGGCTTTCATTGGCCGGTTCATTTGCCGATACACTCAGGGCTCTTTGTGTGTGTATAGAGATATTGGGTTTTGTAAATACATGCTCTTTTTTTGTGTATAACATTTTGCAATCAACAGACATCATAACATGTCATGTGTACAAGAATCACAGCTGTCTGTCTGTGTAATTACATAATGTGACAGAGACAGAACTCGGGGTGCACGAGCCATAAATCAATGCGTTTTGTTTATGGTGTGTAGCCTGATAGGTGTTAAGTTCAGATTGCATGTGGTCAGTGATCGAAGTTGTGTATTGCATATTGTCATGGCAGGCAGATTGAGTTTTGTCTGTGACAGAGGCACATCTATATCACAGCTCGAAATTGTGACAATGCTAAATAATGACGTTGCTTTTAAGTATCGAACTGAGAAAGTGACTCGGTAAGAAGAACCTGTGGTGAAATAGTCAAATGAAATTATATATACAGTTAAATCGGTTATATACTGTCATAACATATAAAAAGCTCGCGCCTGTGAAATATCAACAAAACATTAGAAAAATAGCTCACATCAAAGCCTACTCCGAGTACTCACTGCCAGCGAAGGTTTTCCGTCTTGAAATGTCGAACGCCTCACTGGTTGACACATAGCTGAGTAGATCTAGATCCTTAGTAAGGTTCTTTTATGTAACGAGTAGGTTAATTACTATTTGTTGTTTGTGTACACAACCAAGATTAGACTACCCCTGCTCCTTATACAATGGACATCCCGCTTCCAAGCTGCGCGAACCTATTCACTGCGCATGCGCCATGAGTTTAATTTGCAGTGTTGATAATTTGTTACTGTATGTCCATATCGAAAGGTATCAGAATCTGCAAAGTTGTGTTTTACGTTGCATGTGACCTTTAAGATTCAAAGCATTACCATTGCAATGTTATATTAGATGGAAAGGAACTCTGATGTAATTTGTAAGATGTGTAACAGTAATTGAAATGAAGATGAGGTCGACTTCCTGTTTGAATGAGATAAAAATGTAACACTACGAAAACGGTGTTTACCTCTATGGAATAATGTAACAAATATTTGTAATTTCTAAATTCTAGGTTAATAATTTCGAATGACATGGTACTTTTATTATGTTGTACTAAATCTATCAAATCATCTCTTAAATGTCGATCTTCTGTAAATTGACAACGCAAATGTCTGCCTATTGCCACTATACACAATATCATTTGTATTGCTGTTGTACACTCACGAGCGAAAGAAACGTCACCTCGCTCTTTTAACATGTCACAAAACAACAAACTCCGATTTTGGAAATTTAACAATCATATGTGGAAAATTAATGGATTTACAACATTTTGAATGATGAAAGTGTGCACTACAGATATGAACAATCACTTAGTGTACGGTAAAAGATAAAAAAAATCATTTTGGTGACGTTTCTTTCCCCCGCGAGTTTAAATTGACAGATGGACTACAAACTGAATAAACTTCTGGGATTCATTTAACAATGCAAGGTATTCAGTTTTATTGTTTTGACAGGTCAGCTTGACCTAAGTGACCTTTTAGACCACTGGTGTCTATCAGGGGTGGATCATGTTGGCCTCCATTCTACTACTGTCTCATCTGACCATGATCATAAGGCACCAATGCTTGCTTATGCTGAAGGATCTCCTGTTGCTGTCAGGGTGGGGTAATGGCTGTCTCTGCTGATGCATCTTCACACGATCGTGACTTCCAGATTTCCATAATTTCATTGTTGTACAATATTAAGAGTTGTCGGAGTGGTTGGGGCCTATCGCCTATAAAGGGTCCAATGGATTTCTTGGCCAGTTTACATTCCTTGACATTTCCCAGATTTCTCTTTCAGTGTGACAGCAGCTGTAAAATGGAATCAGCTCCCTGACTCTTTGAAAAACTCTGAATCTCTTCCATCATTCAAAGCCCTCCTGAAGACCTATCTGTTCAACAACTATCTCTGACTCTGGAGTTTCTTTGCTAAAGCGCTTTGAGTGTGCATTGATGTGTGGATTTGTGTGTACAAATGGAATTATTATTACAGCTTAGACGTTTCTGCACCCCTGGCCACCTTTTGGTCATACCTCTTCTGGACTGGATTCCATATTCTGTCTGGCGATATTATCAGTGATAATGGATTCCTTTGGTAGGATGTTGGTGTCACAAGGTATGAACATTTCATGGTTGAAGATAATGTTGACTGGGACAGGGAGCGTCTGATTCCCGTTTTACAACCTCATCCCGGTTGTCCTGTTGGGGGTTGGCATAGATCTGCAGGCTTTGTGAAATGTCCTTGTTTCTTGTTTCACAGACTCCATTGGTTTACGGGTGATAGGGTGATATGTTGTGATGTTGAATTTTGTACAGCGCACAGATGGTATTGAAAAGCTTGCAGGTGAATTGTCTTCCTCTGTCTGTGACCAAAGATTTTGGTGCACCATACCCTGTTACTTGTAATTATCAAGTCTGCAAGTTTAGTAGCCTCAAGGGTCTTCACTTGGTAATCCGGGTCGGGTACAACTGGAATCGAGTCCTATTTCTAGGAATCGAGTACACGGAAAGGAGAGAACTCTGTAAAGGCAAGGGCAGATAATGTCTTTTTCATTATTGACGTAACACGCATTTGCATCATTGTTATTGTCCGATTAATAGGGGCTATTATTAACGACTGTAATATATCTGAGCATGAGCAGTGAGGAGTCAAGTTACAGTAACAACGGTAACGAAAAGTTCTGTGTTTTAACGAGGAATGGTGTTACTCTCTATATATGTTAAACAGACGTGAATTGAATAGCCTAAGTTCAGTTTCAGTGTCTTATTACCATATTTTTTCTATACGAATCCCTGTCAACTCATGATTGAATATTCAGAAAGTTGACAGAAGCGCTTTATTTCTTTACATTTCTGGGTACTCGATTCCGATTCGAATAAGTACATGCGGGTTCTCGATTCCATTTTTCCTACCCGTCTCAGCCCTAGTGGGAAGCCCATTTCTGATTTCCCCCGCCGTGATATTGCTGGAATATTGCTAAAAGCGGCGTAACACTAAACTATATATATCAATATATAAAAAGATATATAAGAAATATATAAATAGTGGTTACATCGAAGATGAATTTCTCCACTGACTTGCGGGAACCAACTGCATCAGATGAATTGCCTGAAGCAAGTTGCTATATCTATACTAGTGAGTCTAAATTTTTGATGGGAAGTATGTATAGTGTCAGTGTGTATTATTTGTAGTATGCATTGAATTAATCTGTTAAAGCATTTACGTATCCATTACACTTATCGAAAACTTGCATAACATGACTGAATTATTGACCATTGAAATGTATATTTTCCACATCTGATGTCTGCCTTGTATATGCATAAATGTATGAAATGGAATAAGAAAAGGGAAAAATGTGTTACTGAAGAAGGTCTGCCTGGTTTAGCTTCTCTTTGTTTGGGGTAGTAGATATAATAGAGTGTTGTTAACAATGTCGTATTCCATTGCAATCATTTAATCTGGGCTTCTGTGTAATCAGGTAGCAATTCTTTCTTCTCCTGGAGCTGAAGATAGGGATATAATCGGGGCAATCTAGGGAATGTGATGCGGTTTAGTGACTGCTGGTATGCAAGGCATTTGGTCGGGTATCCAAACGTCACTAAATACTCTATGCTTCAACCGTTGCAGCGTGCAGATCAAACTGCAGATCATGTGTATGGAAAGTAATCAGTATTTG